TTTTTTTAAAAAAAAAAAAAAAAACTTGAGTTCATTCATATTCCATTGCGCACTATCACTTCGGGAATTTCCAGCTGTATTTATCGTTACCTTGGTTAATTCGGGCACTGATCGAGATAATGAGATAAAATTGTGATCTAGTTTTTATAAGCGCTCCTCCTGAAAATAGTTATTCTAGATTCCATGACTTATCAGGATTTTGTTGTCTAATTTTTCTGCTAAACTTTGTTCTTTACGTCGTACTTTTTGGACATAGTAATACAGTTGTTTGATTAAAATTTAAAATCACAATTCATTCACACCTTGCACAATGCAAGGTGAACAGAAATGCGTTCATACTGCAAATAACACGATGGTGTCCCTTGAAATGTCAGGATATGAGAGCACAAACAGTTAATGATATGGAACTAGGCGGACCCAGAATATTGGAAAGGCATTCACGAAGTTAGAATTGGGCCATCTTTTCCTTGTAACACTTAAGCTGTAAGAAAATTTTAACCACACCTTTTACTTTTAAATTAGTATAATCCTTAAATTTTAAAAGCAGGCGAGCGACGAGCGGGGTCTGGGACAGAAATCGGAGAGCGCTCACTGACCTAGAGACTGGTACAGGCTGAGTCTCGAACATTTACGGAAGTCTTGTTCCCAAATCTCTATGTCCCAAAAAAAAAGTGCAGTGGTAAAACTTTGTAGACAATCCTTTTTATTGTGAGAGTTTCAGGGGCAGTAGTCACACCAACTAGCAAATACCTAGCAAGTACCTTGACAAGTTAGTGTCCTATGGGATTTGATAGACATTTCTGAAAAAAGACTGGGTTGGAGGATGACAAGAGAATGGGGAAGATGAAGAGGACAATTACTACCCTCCAGTCAATCTATTATCAAACTGCAGGACTTAGTATCTCTGAAATCATAGTGAATAGAGGGAAACCGGCAAAGTTTTTTGTTGCATGTTTTTGCTGGCTATTTGGGGAGTTGACCCTGCACAAAACTTGGGAAAATACAAAAGGTGATTATGTGTGCTTATAGAACTAACCAGTAGAAGCATTACGATTAGGTAATTCATGCAGAGTCAATGAGCATAAAACAAAAAGATGTGCAGGGGACCTTCCAACATAAATCGTCTCTTTGATGTTTGCCAGGCTTCTGAACCATTTTCCTCTAACAACTATGCAAAAATATATCTTCAATCTTCTGTTGTTGGAGATGCATTAATTTGTCAGTTGTTGTATAGTATAACATGCAAATCACTGGGGCTTCAGCAGTTAGTTGAAAACTACATCTAATTTTTCATCTCTGTCTACTTAACATTTGTAATCTGCAAAGGGATTTACCCATCACGGCATGTAAAGGAGAAAAAAGGAAATAAATGCAACTAAATCACTATTGATTTATAAATGAGACAAGACACCTAAACACTTCATGCTCTGCTGATGTATCACTTCAGCAGAAACCCACCAGTGACATTGTGTAGACAGTTCAACAACTTCCAACTCAAACAAGTTCTGCAAGTAAAGTCTCTCCACATCTCCACAGATCGGGGAATCCTGTGCACAGGCTATTTCAGTAAATTTCAAAACCACACAACAGTTTTAATGTAAGTTTCTTTTAATTATATGATCCCTTTGGATTCAACTACAGGCAATTTTATGCTGCAGTAGTTTGACGCGGTCCAACACCTCCTGGACGTTGTCCCTGGGGATTGTCAGGCTAGAAGGTGAACAAGAAAAAAAGTTAAGGACGGCTTCATAGTTATTATAGTGTATATTGAACACTGAATCTAAAGACCCAGTACAGAACAGACTGAGGCAAGTTTTACATGCAAGTTTGATTTACACAAAACCAGGGCTGTCATCAAGTTTTTAGTCACCTGCAGCCTTATTCTCCACACCTGTAGCAAATTTGTTACTTTATGGGTGAATTCTATCTTGAAACAACAGGTAATTTCACCCATAGCACCAAGGAAAAATCAAGCATACTCAGCCGTACTGTACTATGGGATACGGCCCTTAATGACAGCCCTGAAAACAATTTACACATTTGCAAATATGAATTTCCAAAATTGTCTGTCTAGATCAGCCCTTCACAAAAACACTTAACCTAGAAACCTATGTACCACAGACACATGCAATAACTGGGTGCTGGTAAATTATTGCATTCTGTAATGCTTGTTGACACTGGAACATTGTATGGTACATTTGTTTGTTTGCTTTTTGTTTTGCTTTTTATATTTGTTATTCATAAACAACACAACATAGTTACAGCTCATTAACACGTAATACAAAGTCAAAAAGTCACATTTCACTGGCAATATACATGTACAAGAAAATAATAAAAATGAAAGCTAGAGTGTAAATGTACTCAGGGCTGTCATTACGTTTTGAGTCAACTGTAGCCTTAATCTTCACACCCGTAAGAAACTCAGGTGATTTGTATCAACAACAGTCCAGTTCACCTCTAACATCCAGGGTACATTAAACATACTCAGCCGTAGCAGGCGTTACAGGTTACAGCCCTTATTGACAGCCCTGCTACTTACATGAATACTTCTGAAGAAAGATAACGGTGTGATGCAAAACAATACAAGGGAGTATTCTCACTATATTATATGTGGTTAACTTTATACATTACATCTGTTTAGATAGCTACATGTACTATTGAACAACAGTGGACAGTTCTTTCCATTTTTTATGAAATTCTATGGTAAGCTGTAACTTGTATGTTGCTTGCAACAATGAAAGGGATGGTTTATATTGAGACCTCGGCATTGGAAGATGCTTACAAAGGATACTAATATGATTTAGGAAAAGGAAGTCTTCTCTAAAAAACCCAAAAGTTATAGGAGAAGTGTTCAAATAATCTATAAGCTGTTCTGTTACTGAAAGCAACAAGCTGGAGTTAATTTCACAATAAATAAATAGATGCCCAAGGGATTCCTCAGATTTTTCATACTCATTGATGAGATAACAATGCCCATTTTGTGAAGAGCTCTACTGGTGTTAACAATTCTGTGTACAAATTTATACTGGAATTCTCTGCTTTTGGAGTCTACAGTTACACTTCTAGGAAGAACATAAATTTCTTGCCATGGCAAATCAGTTGTTGGAAAAGAGTTCTTTGTATTCGTTTGTTTGTTTTTTTTATTTCGGGGTATTCTTTATTTTCTTCACAAGATCCCACTATAGCACCCTCAAAGAAGTACACTGTACAGGTAAAGTCAAGTGTAGGAAAAAGAATGTGATTGGAATCGATGCTATCAGCACCTGACAACAACGGAACATTGGTACAATTTCAGAAAGTGATTTTTAAGACCTACCAAAAAATAGGCTCAACATCAGAATGCAATATTATTAGGCTCGACTACCAGCCGTTGTTCAGGAAAGGAGCCTGCGCTTCTCCCCTCCCCTATTATGTTCTTCCCCTCTTAGAGAGAACACAGAACCTGGATATTATTACAAAAAGAACTCTTACCCTGCGTGGGAACCTTGGAGGCGGGACCCTGATCTTCCTGTTTTCCTTGGAGCGATTCCTGACGACCTTAGAGTGGATTGCACAGCTAACACAGTAGTGAAGCTTGACATAAAGTTTGGGAAGAGGGTACACTGTAGAGAAAATGTCAAGTGAGAATCCAAGAAGAACTTCTATGGACTTGGGCTTAGTCTTGATACTTTCGTACATTAATACACATGCTAAGACAAAATTCATGCACAATGACTTTCTCCCCATAATGAATTTTTGCCAACAAAGGTGGTTTATCCTGGGAGAAATTCAAGGCAAATTCATTTGGAATTAAGAAAGTGTATTTACACTGTATGTGCAAAGTCATTAAGTTTCCATCCCTGTACTTATGACAGAGATGAAACTTACCTCAGCATGAACTTGCATATTTTATCCCTGGAATATGTTTACCACAACAGGAGGTAAATTACCAGAAACTTTGACGAAACTGAATACTGGGAGGAAATGTTCCTTGGAAAATGCCTCCTAATGGATAAATGCCACTAACAGAGGCCAATAATCAGTGTTTCAGCCAGAAAATTTTACTTGAGGGCCAAAGTGGCCCCTGAAGATCTTTTTTAGGGCCATATTTTTTAGAAAAGGGGCCAATGAACTGAAAGCTACAGAAGGAAAAAAATGCATCAGGGTACCAAGGAAAATAAAGCAGTTTATCATGATCTAGGACAAAATTTAATAGAAAGTGATTTTTGAAGTGTTTCTACCCAATAAAGTTTCTTTTGAATCAGATACTACTAGTATGAAGGATCCGTGCATTACAAGAGAACAATCCTTAGGCATACATGACGTAGTCCATGATCAAGGGTTTGCAATGCATTATAGGGCGATTTCAAACACGGTCAACCATTTGGAAGTTTTCCGATATGAAAGAATCAATACAGCAAAGCAAGAGGACGGATTGACTTCTTTTCTTATGTTGAATGTTTTAGAAGCAAAGATCTTTCAATATGATTTTCTAGAAGGACATAATGTGTGACAAAATAACCGTTATTGATCGTCAACACAGAGAAATGTAGTCGCCATTAAGCCTTATTATGGCGACTACACCAGAATTTTTGGTCGCCAAGGACGAAATGTTAGTTGCATTGGCAACCGTATCGATCACAATTTCGAGCCCTGGGATGGCTTTTAAAATATTCTGCCTGTGTTAAGCCTGCGGGCCTGTGAAAGGAGAGGGCCTAATTGGCCCTTTTTTGTTTTTCTGGGGGCCATCTCTGATTGTAATGCAAGATTCCCGCAATGGCGCGCACTGGCGGAAACACTGATAATAGCAAAGGCAGCCTGTGTAACATACTCATGTATGGATCTTTCCCTTAAAAAGTGGACAATCGGACGTGAGAAATGTTACAATGGTTGTTGCAAACAGCAGGGAACACAAAGACTTGTCGGTCAAACATTTTTCCTAATGTCTTCAGTTTCATCTCTCTTGAGATAAGAAAGAGCAACAAGTATAGGAACTTAAAAGGGCCTGCAGAGAATGTCTGCAAATTTTAAAACAAAATCAGTCACTTCATTATATAAAATAAGAAATAAAGGAACAAAGTAATGGCAAAAGGTGATCTACAATTAGAACATAACCAGTAGGTACAGTCGAACCTCGATTATCCGTACCTCGATTATCTGGATTTCTCGATTATCCGGACTTTTTCTCTAGTCCCAGTTTTGTCATGAATATATATTAGTCATGATCAAGATCCGTAGCAATATTCTTTTTAAAACCATAGCATTGAAAAGTGCAGTAAAAGGGGCGTTTGCTTTGCTTTTAAAGTGCAAAAGCAGTGCTCGCACGCTTTGTAACTAATGAAGAACACTCGAATGAGTTCAGATTGGCTCAGAGTTGAGTGGTTCAAGATGTACAGTACACCATATTGTTTTCCAAGTGATTTGTAAAAGTGTTTTTTCATGATTAAATGTTGCTTTATTTAAACAGTTTTGCTCTTCATTAATATTCAGATTTTCAATTATCCGGACTATTTCTTCTAGTCCCAATGAGTCCAGATAATCGAGGTTCGACTGTAATTCTAATTCTTGGGGTGTCTATCTGATGCATTTGTTACAGGTTTTATGCTCCAAATGGTAACTCCAAAATATTGAAATTGCTACAGTCTAACACTGCTCCAAGTATAAAGAAACCTACCTTCATATACACTTGCATCAGCAATATCCCTTACTGCGGCTGCCTCCACAATATTCCTTATAACAAATTTCTTAATAGCCTTGTCTTTGGGGACACAGCGCGCACAATTGGTACAACGCACAAACTTAACATGCCCACGGCCATGCTTGGAGCGCCCGCAGTTACGCCTCTTCTGCGTCTATAGAAAAAGGAAATATAATCTTGATGAAATTGTTTTCACCTTTAATAGAAGAAAACCTGCCTGGGTACATCAATGTAGATCTAGACAAAGACTAAATTCAACATGGTTTATTTTTTTTTGGATCTCAAAAGCACAGTTTTTGTATTTTTGGGCTAGAACTTCACCAAAGTACAGTTGGATCCCGCTAATTCAAACTCAGTTATTTGAAATTCCTGTTATTTTGAACTCAAACCCATTTCTCTTGGATTGCCCTTCAGTCATATACTATCAGTTATTTTTAACTCCCAGGAGCTCGAACCAGCGGGGCGCAACTGTATTTCCCTACCAAGGCTGTGGTGTAAGAAAAATTACAAGGAGCTCAAAGGTTCCTAACCATGAAATCCTACGTGCCCAGCACAGAAGCTTACATATAAATAGTTTTTCCAGTCACCCAAATACAAAAGTTAGTTGCCTGTGGGCACCGGGCCTAATCATGTCTACTAATAATATTTTGAATTAAATGAAAACCCTACTATATGAAACAAACACTTGGATGGTTTCCTCTTCACTTAGCCTAGTGAAAATTCACTTTGAATAGTAAAACCTGACTAAAGACAAGCCCTTGGACTGTTAACATTAAACAAAATAACACCTGATCCAGACTAACATGTTTCCCATACTGATGCACGAAGCCAAATAATGGTGACTTTTTTTTTTACATCGGTTTTATATAAAAGATATCAGCAAAAATTGAGAAAACAGTTAATAATCTAGCTACATGTCAATTAGTAAAACTACAAACGAAATGGAAAAGACTAAAAGACAAATGCTCGGTTCTAGAAATTTGACTTGAAAGCGAGCGAGTGACAACGTGGTTTGAGTATCAAGACCACTAAACGCGACAATTTTCGCTTTTTCTTCGCCGCAACGATATATTTGTAAGTTAAAGGGTTCAATTGATACCGAAAGTATATTTCAAGCGCCTTAAAGTCGCTCAATGATCTAAATAACGACGAAAATGTTCGTAATTTCAAGCTACAAGCCACAAAGAGCTCACCATTTTGATCTCAGACAGAGGAAAAGAGGCCGCTCACATGGAGCCCCTGGGTTTTGTTAGTGGCCTCCCCAGAAATTGTCCTTTTCAATCGCGGGCTCGTGCAATAATTTCATCATTCACGTGGTATCGAGCAAGATGGCTGCTTCGTTTTTCAACAGAATTGCTGCCTTGGGTTTAGGCCTGGCTGGCATTGGTGGCGTGGTTAATACAGCTCTTTTCAATGGTTAGATAAAGTGTAATTTAGTTTACTTGTAGCTTGGCTGAATTGAGGAAATGATCACGCAAGTTTAAGGCCGATCAAAGATTTTAGTTTGACAGCCTTCGACCCGTTTCGACGGCTCGCATGGTCGAGCTCTTTAATAGTACGATCCAAAATTAGCTCTAGTTTGCAGATAGTTTATTCGTCCTGAAAATGTATGAGGAGAATTTTTATGCAGGCCAATCTTGTAAGCTGTGGTCTTAATTTTGGATACAGTTTCAAACTGTTGCGTGCTTTGTACTTTTTTGTTGGTATCAAAAAGGTAAAACTTTTGAAAAATGACGTTTAAGTTAACTTAATATATCATTGAACACGAGGGGCTAATGTGCAATACGCTGTAATGAACTATCATGAATAACAGTTAATATACTGTGCGGTACTGAGTCACATTTATTTTCTCCACCGATATTGATTTTGGGTTTAAGGGGGCTGTGGCCTCTGAGTTTTCGTCCTGGAAATTTAGAGATCTGTCATTGTATACCTTCAATTTTTGGTGAGGAATGTTCCCAGAATGCAGGAAATAAAATCTCAGACAAACAAGATTTTAAAATTTTCTGAGAAGTCATGCCTTCCCCATGAATGGTGGAACCATATTTTGACTTTTTACGTACTTTGATTTTTTACAAGTGATCACCAGAGGCGCTAACTTGTAAGGGGTCTGGTGATGTTTTTAAAATTATTATTTAATGCATTTTTTGCACCCCCTGGCTGCACCATCCCTGTTCCCACCCCTATATTGCTATAAGAAAGATTGTGCTCATGCTAGAACAGTCTCCCATGGTGAAAATTCCCAAGCTCTCCCTGTTTCATCGTTTTGGTGTAGTTGATGTAGAGGGGACAAAATTAGAGTTCAATTGTTAAGAACTTTTTTTCTTGCAGTTGAAGGAGGCCACCGAGCTGTAATATTTGATCGATTTCAAGGTGTTAAACCTGATGTCACTGGTGAAGGAACCCATTTCCTAATTCCGTGGGTTCAAAGACCTATTATATTTGATGTCCGTAGCAGACCTAGAAATGTACCGGTGATAACAGGAAGTAAAGGTACGTAATGAGGAGTATCACTTGGTAACATTTAAACAGCAAGGCTTGAACTGTTTTCTTTTTAACACTGCTTACAGTTTCAAGAAATGAAGAGGAAAACTCTGATTTGCATGTCAAAAGATGTGTTTGTAGAGGTTATTAGCTATAAAAGATTGGGAACAAAAATGTTATTCTACACCAAGAAGCAAAGGCTTGAGGAATTCCCTAGTTTGTAAAGATTTGGGAACTAGCAGGGAAAAATGGATGATTGTATTTTGTTTTTACATATTTTCTAATTAATAATTCAGTAGACTATAAGCCCAAGTTTTTTCTATGAGCAAACAGTCAATGGGGCGAAGTCGAGTTGACTATCACTGATAGAAAACAAGATTAGAGCAAGTAGTCTAATTGTTGTACTAGACATAGGATTACAGCACAAAACCTACAGATTTGCAAATTTTAATTCTAAACTTAAGATAAATTTTTGGTTTTAAGAGCAGTGGGTGTGATCATTGTCTATCAGCAAATAGGAAATGATAGGAGAACCATGCCAATCAGATTTGTAGATCTCCAATAGAGCACAGCTGACTGGCTATTAAATAAAACTGTTGGAGTGATCTGTGCTCATAGTTCTTTAAAAAACGTTGAAAACAGATCTAAAAAAGTAAAATTGTCTCTAAATTTTAGACCGCCTTCTACGGTCTTCTTCAGAAAATGACGATTTCGCACGATTCACAGAATTTTAATAAGCTGGGACATTATTGTTTGTTGCCCCCTAGGGAGGCAACCAGTGACGTGTAAATCCTTGGGAAGGGTGCTCTTTCATTTATGGAGTTTTTGTCTAAGAAAGAGTGCAAAGATTCCAGAAACAGTCTTTTGTTCTTGCCGCTTACACCTGTTTCAAGAATGTTGGCGTAAATAGGATGTAGGATATTGGCGTAATAGAATGAATGATGAGAATGTTGGCGTAATAGGATGTTGGAGGAGTCACACACAGCTGACCAAAGGCCAAGTCCTGGATCTACTCTCCTTTTTCTTGCTCAACAGCTATTTTGTATTTGAGGGAACCCAATACCATCAGGTGTTGGGGTGTGCCGTGGGATCTCCGGTGTGTGCAGTGATCGCCGAGCTTGTAATGCAAGAAGTTGAGGAGAAAGCGTTAGAAACTTCACCCGTTAGACCAAAGTGGTGGTGTCGCTTTGTCGATGATTGGAACGCTTGTATTAAGAGGGACGGTGTTGAAGTTTTTCACAGCCACTTAAACTTGATAAACGCCAATATTCAGTTTACAGTAGAGATGCCTACAACAACTATGGGCAAGAACAGCATAGCCTTCTTGGACACTAACAACACCGTTAATGAGGATGGTAAGATTGAGGTGGGTGTATACCGCAAGGTCACAAATACGAGCAAGTATTTAGACTTCCATTCACACAGCCCAGCGCAAAGCAAGAGAGCTGTCATTAAGACTCTAATGGACCGAGCTAAATGCATTGCATCAACAACTGCACAAAGACAAAACGAGAAACGACGTGTTATTAGTGATCTAGAAGCTAATGGTTATCCAGAGAGCTTCATCAAGTCAGTTGGTGAATCGAACAGAACAAGCACGCAGCCAAGACCCCAGGAGAATCCAAAGGCATACGCGTCGATTCCATATGTGAAAGGAGTGTCGGAATGTATTCAACGCATTTTGAGCCGCGAAAACATCAGGACAGCTTTCAAACCAGTACAAACATTGGGAAATTTTTTCAAAAAGCCCAAAGACCAGCCGACAAAAGAGCAATTGAAAGGCATTGTGTACAAAGTGACCTGTAGGACATGTTTTTTCACATATGTTGGGGAAAGCAGAAGAAATTGGAAATCTCGGGGGCCCAACACAAGCCCGGAACCAATGGAAATGTCAATTCCGCAATTAAACAGCATGCGGAAACCGGCCACAATATACATCCTATTTACGCCAACATTCTTGAAACAGGTGTAAGTGGCAAGAACAAAAGACTGTTTCTGGAATCTTTGCACTCTTTCTTAGACAAAAACTCCGTGAATGAAAGAGCACCCTACCCAAGGGTTTACGCATCACTGGTTGCCTCCTTAGGGGTCAGCGAACAATAACGTCCCAGCTTATTAAAATTCTGTGAATCACGCAAAATCGTCATTCTCTGAAGAAGACCGCAGAGGGCAGTCGAAAATTTACAGACAATTTTAGTTTTTTAGATCTGTTTTAAACGTTTTTTAAAGAACTGACTGGCTATTAGTTAATATAATACAATGTATAACCTTTGTTACATGTACATGTACTCCAGAGAAGAATTTTAATTACTAACAGTTCCTTGTTTGTCCTGCAGATCTACAAAATGTCAATATCACGCTAAGAATCCTGTTCAGACCACAGCCACATATACTACCCCAAATGTACATGAACCTTGGAGAAGACTATGACGAGCGTGTTCTTCCATCAATTACAACTGAAGTTCTCAAGGCTGTTGTAGTAAGTAGTCACCATAGTCTCGTCAAATGTTATTCTTGTCAATTGATACAAAATAACTTGAATTTACAAAATGCTAATTTGTACTTTTAGGTATGGCCTATTTGTCTTTTCCTGAATCAGTACCCACTGGGCAAGTAATTTGTAAATTGACCAGCCCAGGCCAGATGTGTTGTATGACACTGATATTGCAAATTTCTGAAGGCAGTGGTCCACTTAAAAGTAGCAATCCTTTGCATGTACATGTAACAATGCTCTGAATGTAACGACCTCAGGTGGAGATGTTACTGCATGTACAGGTAGCTTGAGTGAAGAAACCAAGGACAATTTCAGATGCATTGAGTTGTATAATAATGTTATAATACATGTATTACACTTTTGCTGTTCTGATTTCATTCTGCCATTATATGATGTGGATATTAATAAAACCAATTTTTTTCAGGCCCAGTTTGATGCAGGAGAGCTTATCACACAGAGAGAAGTTGTAAGTACTGTCAGTTGAAATTTGGGCACTTGTTAATTTTTTTTACTGCCTGGGACACTTTTTTTTTGAGAGTGAAGTCATCGGCCAATTGTTGGGTTGAACTGTTTAGGATCACTGTGTCATGCTCGTAATCTGCAAGACATGTTGCTTTCTTGGCACCTTTCAACATTCAGGCGATCAAATGGGAGCTTAGAAAAAAATTGACAATATACTGGACAGGGAGAGCACGTGGTCAACTGATATCCCCTTTAGGAAAAGAAATAACACTACTGGATACTTCATGCTTCTGTCAAGGCAGGAGTAATGCATGCCACTGGTCAGTGGTGAGCTTTCAAACTATTCCATTCATTAACAACGGAATGGATCTCATGTGTACATGTGATTGTTTAAGTAGTGGCCACAGAAGTTATGGGGTACTGGCTAAATGTTCAGATTTTCGGCGTAACCCTAACTGTACTTTCAATTGTGCAGGTTTCTCAAAAGGTACAAGAATCACTGACAGAGCGTGCTGCAAGTTTTGGACTTATTTTAGATGACATCTCTCTGGTGAGGATTATTTGTTTATTTATTTATTTATTTATTTATTTATTTATTATATATTTATATTTATTTACTTATTTATTACAATTCAGTGGTGTAAAAAAAAGATAAATAAATAAAATATGTTGTTCAAGAATTCCACTGTGTACATTTGTGTGCTTTTAGAACATGTTCAAGACACATACATGTAGGTCAATAATATAATCATATCATTATCATGTCCTTTGAGTGAATGAGGTGTAAATTTAGCTAATAGATTCCATATTGCCTTGTGACTGTTCAGTAATAGATTGCAGATGACATCCAAATGTTGTAAGAACAAAAAAGAGGCACACGACTTATTAGGCTGTTGTGCCACCAATGGTCTTACCACATTTTGATGTCATCTGTGATCTATTACTGAACTGACATCATCTATGGATCTTTCCTCTAATAGATCATAAGTATAACAACTAATCAAAATGTGAGAATAATGTGATGTATGATGTAATTATGGTTTCAACTCTCTTCACTTCAGACACATTTGACATTTGGCAAAGAATTCACAGAGGCTGTTGAAATGAAACAAGTTGGTGAGTATAGCAATGCTGATTACAACAGGCAAAAATCTAACTGGACCAAACTCTGGGTGATTGTTTCCTGTCATGAACAAAATAAAGAAAGCGCAGTAAACCAGTATTGTAGGGTAATTCTGTCTTATCATGGAATACAAGATATGCTAAACACTATTAAAGCACTCTTAGCCAAAATAATGTTGTGACTGAAATGTCTGGTTCTCATTTTGTTAAGGATGCATGATGTCATCCAGTGGAAAAAATCCCTTCTTAAAATCACCTCACCCTTCCGTGATTTTGATTGGTGAAGTGAAACAGAACACACTAAAACAACTCTAAAACAATGCTGTGCATTAGTGGTTTGCTTGGTATCCCTGTAAATGGAGTGAAAGGATAACATACATGTACATGTAGTTATCATTGAAACTGAGCATAATTTATATTTTTGTGTGTGTTTTTTTACCTTATAGCCCAGCAGGAAGCAGAAAGAGCCAGATTTCTTGTGGAGAAAGTAAGTAGAAACACTTGTCACTTGTACATGTGAGGGCCTCCAGAGAACATGATTTCATTTCAAGGGAACAAGTGATATTTTTAGGATTAATTTGAGGGAACAAGGGATGCCTCTTCTATTTAAGGGAACTTTGACAAAATAAATTCAGAGAGCAAATGGAGTTCAATGCATCAAGGAAACATGCTAACCCCCCCCCCCAAAGGGTTCAGACCTGTTTACCTGTAAACCCTGTCTGAGGGCTAAGCCTAGTGGAGTTTGCTGTGGGGCTAGTGGATTCTATCCTTTGCTTGCCTAATGGGCAGGTGACAATTGTTTATGGGATTGGTTAGTCTCCTTCCATCCAGGGCTATAAAGTAATAAAGGGTAACGTAAGGTAAGGTCTGCTTCAGGCCAAGTGTTCCATGCATCCAGAGCTTATCCCAGGTTCTGTAGCACTCAGAGACTGCGAGTGTTTTTACTTCCCCCTTTATGAGATGCTAATCTGTTACAGAGTTACCCCCAACATTAAACTCACTGGTACCCATTTATACACCTGGGTGGAGAGAGGCTCTTTGAGAGTTAAATATCTTGCCCAAGAACACAATAGACTGCATGATCTGAATCCAGTGTGCTAACCGTTACTGGCCACTGTACTTCCTCAGGGCATAAAAGGATAAGAAAATTTTGGGGGCATCCTGAGAGAATGCTATGGAGCGTTCTGTGATGAGCTATCATCCCTTTCAAGGGCAAGTAATTTATATGTAGCAATACTTCTATGCAGACCCATCCCCTAAAGTGATACTACAATGGGCTGACTAATGTTTCATTCACTTACAGGCAGAGCAGTACAAGAAAGCTACTGTCATCAGAGCTGAAGGAGATGCTAAAGGAGCAGAACTCTTAGCAGATGCCTTTAAAGAGGCAGGCGAAGGCCTTGTTGTGCTCAGGAAGATGGAAGCTGCCGAAGAAATTGCTGATAAATTGTCTCACTCTCGAAATGTTGCATACCTTCCCCATGGACAGAATATGCTGCTGAATTTACCAGTGGGACGTCAGTGACGATACAGGGTTTAAAAGGAAAAAAAAAATTACTGCAAGGGTGTAAGACTTGGTCAGATTAAGAATTTCATCACGTGGTTTACAGCCGTAGGGAGAATGATGACATCTTAATGTTATATTTGTGGTAGATTTGGCGTGCAAAAGCAGTCTTCCTTCCTTCCATCTTCAGAGTAATGATGCAAGATGGCTGTTTTTTGGCGCTGCTTTAAGATGTTGAATTTTCCTCTACCTGTAGAAGACTTTTCAGTTGAACTCATACACGCTGTTAGATTGCACAATATTTTCTAATAAATCTATGGTAAAACTGTGAGGATTTCAATGATGTCTGCCACTTTATTTCTCCTCGAAAATTTCCAGTTAAGTTCCCATCCTAGATTAACTGCTGAATTCGCGTTACTTTTTCCACATAAATATGAGCTGGCAGCTATTGAGAATGGAAGAGTTGATCATTTATTTACCTTTTTCGATTAATGGTTAATTAGAAAGGATGACAAGAAAAGCACAAGGTATGGGTTTAAATAGCCCGTTCCAGGCTCTCGGTCAGTGGGGACAATCGAACAAGCGGGTGGGCGACGAGCGGGGTCCGGTAGACAAAAGGAGAGGTCGGATCCCGCTCGTCGCTGATCCCGTTTGTGTCCCGCTTGCTTTTTCGATCGTCCCATTGACCGAGAGCCTGGAGCAAGGCTATGGCTTCAAGAAATGTGCTGCACACCCCGGCTACAGATTTGTGGGATTATCTCCGGATGTTTCAGTAAGGGCTAATAAACTTTCAGTGAGAATCTTTTGACTGATGCATGACATCTCACATCAGTTTGCACCCGATCCTGTCACTGAAGAAAATCATAATCAACTATAACAAATTTAATGATCTAAGGAAAAGAGGAAAAGCAAGGCCGATTTAAAAGGAGACAATATATTATAAAGTTCTTTCAAGTGCCACTGAACTGGAAAACAGTCTGTTGGGGTCAAAAGGACGCACTATACTCGGACGCGTTCCTTTGACTCTTTTTCTTACTACGCCTCTCTCCCGGTGCCTCTCTCCGGTGGGTAATCTGCGTTTCCAGGGTAACACTTCCAACCCCCTCCCTACCTCTCGCTCCGCGGATGGGTGACGGGGGGCGGGCGCTGATCCACCGTAGGAAAAAAGATGGCGACTGGTACATTTAGCCATAGTTCTTAGCGCACAAAAACCTTAACGTTCATAGAACGCACAGAAACGTTATAAAATCTTCAAATCTAGGCTACTCAATGTGCTTAGTACAAGGACAAATATTGTAAAAAAAAAGGCTTTCTTTGTGCCTTATAGGCTGTGTTAGGTTCGTAAGGCATTTTGGTAAAATATACAGCCGCCATCTTTTTACCCACCGTGGATTGTTTCTGCGCATCTTTACTGCGCACTCAAATTCACTCGCCACGTCATGCATGAGAGCGCGCACTAAGTGATAAAATGAACAATGCAGGGATAGGACAGATGGCCGTTGTTATAGCTTTGCCTGGATTTAACGATCTTGGACATTCGGTGACCCCTATTTTTCTTTTGATGAATCATGTTCTGTACCGATTTTCGACGTTTAGCGAAAAAATGAAGGAAATCTGTGGACTAGAAGTTTGAATTTTTTGTAAAATGCACCATCAAATTCCGTTCATCAGTAGCACTTCGTTTATCTGTGCGGCGGTTTCAAATGCCTCTTGAAGGGTTAAGTTTTGTGAAAACGTTAGCAAAATTTGGGATTATTTAAGCAATAGACCCTCCTCTACAAAATATGGCTAAAATCGTTTGCCTCCGTTGACTCACCTTCGATATTTTCAACTATAAACCCCTGTAGACCATGCTGAATTACCTGCACCACTTCTTCAAAATCAGAGTAGTTTTTCACATGCTTTACCTCTAAAACGAAGTCAGTGACCCCCAATGTTTTTTTGGCATTTCTGACACAAGTAATTCCTTATCTGACTGTCGTAAAAAATTAAAAAAACTATCGACTGGAAAATTTTCGCGAGAACGTCCTTAAGGCCAAGGACCCATTAACGGATTCATGCGCGCGCTCGCGCGCGTTGCTAAGGAGGTGAAATTTCACTTCCGGTTACTTACGTAAGCCTGAGCGCGGAAAATAATAACAACTCAAAAACTTGCAAATTCGCTTACATTTTAGATGTTTTTCTTTGTGTTTCACAAAATGCAAAGTAATAAAGTACAAGCAAAGACAAAATAAGAGAAAGACAGAAAAATAGGAGCAACAGCGAGAGATAACTCCGTGGGGCTTTGTTTGGTCTTACAGAAGTGCGCTGGTAGTGTAAATTCGGCACGCACTGATAGGGTAACCTCCCCAATAAATATCGGGTGCAATTCCGTTTTCTTTAAATGCCAAAGCGAAATGCGGTTTTTCATTAAATCCAGTCTTTTTTCACGGATTTCGATTAAAGCCAACGTTGGAAACGTAGCTATGCATTCCTGTTTCAAAATCATGCTTTTTGCAGAAAATCACGAACTTTTTAATATTTTGAAATTCTCTCAAAATCTGACCTTTTAGAAATGAAACAAGATCTATGCATAGCGTAACGAGGATTTAAATTAAAATATCAAATCAATGCAAAAAATTTGGATAAAGTAATTTGCCTGGGAGCCTTTGTGTTGTTTCAGTATTAGTCACATAACCATGGGCGTGGCCTGATGACGTCATCACTAGTGTTGCCGATCATGAAAAAGTTAAAACACATGAAATAACTCTGAAGTAACTAAAAATGACGAGGTTATAGGAGAATAAATTTTCCCTAGCAAGGGCTCGAAAAGATCGGTTAATGGGCCCTCAAGTGACCTCAACCGATCAGGAATAGCTTACATTTGCGTTAACATTGGAAAAGGACTTCAAATTCCTTCGGAAGTATTACTTTTTAAAAACGGCAAGGCTGCTCGTCGGAAATTGTGAAAAGAATTATTATATCAGGGGGGCAACACAATGTCGGCGTGGCTGAAATTCTTTTCCACCTTCAAGAGGCACCATCATAGTTCGAAACAGCTCTATATGATGTCCTGCTTAAATCCCTGTTTTAGACCTGCCTAATAATTAGCTATAGTTCACTAGTTCACACCAATATGGATTGCCGTAAACATAATTTGTGAAGAGCTTTTGTTGACGGTCTTGTCGATAATGATGAACAAGTAGCTTCCTCTTTAAAACATACCCAATTCAAGACTAAAGTGCAAAGTCTATACCCTAGTTATGACCAAACCGGCTGAAAACCATACCCTTTGTAATTATTTGTAGGGGCCGCGCATACCAGGATAGATTGACAGCTTGCTACCCAGGCTACCCATCAGACACCGGCATCACCAAAAAGAGCCTTTAGCTTTCATTTCCACGGGCAAAACATATCTACATGGGCTCCTGACATTCAGAATTCAGATATTCTCGATCTAATCCTGTCCTTTGTTGACAAGTTTAACATGTCTTCTATCGCAACGGCCGTGTTTTTAAGGCAGCTATTGGCTTGTTGGTCAATAACGCTAGAGACACCGCAGCTGAAAAGCTAGAAGAAGGCGACGTGACAGATGAAAAGTTTCGTAGCTTGATCGTGCGTGAAATCGACCAGGTCAACTGGAAGCTGGATGAATTGGATTAGCGCCTTTAAAGAAGGAATCGCTATTTTGTTCGATGTATTCGATAAGGCAAACACAGGAGTGAAGGAGCTAAACGAGAATGTAACAGAACGAGCAACAGCTTCGGGGTCAGCCGACGTAAGCTTACGATCCTCAGCTTCAGCTTAAGCAGAAGCAGTATCCCTCGCCAAAGAGCTCTCCAACTTACAACTGATCGACTTGACGCAAAAGAAAGATTCAAGGAAGCTCGCAGCAAAGCAAGAGACGCCTTCAGCAACAAAGCGTTCGACACGTCTGATCGCATTCAGGCTATGATGATCAGAGTCATGGCAACAATGGACAATCCTGTGAACGCAATAACACCATGTAGAGTTTGCCTTGAAGAGTTGCACGCCCTGCCAGCTGTTAAATAGAGCTTTAACATCGCCTTAGCGGAAGGATGGATGTCTTGGTTCGGGAAAGATGAGCGAAACGCGATTATTGCCACTGTTTGTGACATAAATCGCGCCATCTTTAATAACACGGTCATGGTTGGTTCCAATTGCAATAGGATGTTGTGGCCTCTGATCGATGTTGGAGCAGAGAATGTGCATCCATTGCGAGACCAAAGGGTTGCTGAAATTAATCTGCAGAAGTCAAAATACATTGGTTGCTACTCTGTGCAATGGTGGCTTGGATCGGACATCTTAAAATCAGCAGCAGGAATCTGCACTAACACGAAAGGCCAGTTCATTGTAGGAGATAAGCTAGAAAAAAACATTTAAGTATTTGACTGTGATGGCAACTTCCTGTACTTGCCCTCTGTAACCTTGGGAGATACTAGAATTTGTGATGTGGCTACTGACCAAGCTGATAACATTTACGTGCTCTGTCAAAAAGATCCAGGTGAATACCAGGTGCGTATTTTTGACAAGGACAACAACATGCATGGTTGTTTTGGCTTTGATGCCTTCGCTCCTTATCGTCTCTCTATAGTGGAGGCTAAGTCTAAACCCGAGTCTAAAAAGGTTTTAGTGTGAAGACGGTGTAATATTTTCCAGTCTGTGGGGAAAGTTTTTGTAATTTGTGATTCCTATCGGCAAGGCGAGGAATCTGCCTGGAACGTTCCCAGTGATCAAGCCATGCTGATCAGAAGCATAACGGTTTGTAATAATGGCAATTTATTATATGGCTTTGGCTTGTGGCCGATATAACGCGCGCTCTGATTGGTTAATTGTCACTGAATTGTAGGGCATTATTCTCCCGTAATGCCCACGGGCCGATTACGGATTATGCAAATTAGGAACAGCCCGGTTCTGAAAATTCAAGCGCATTGAAGCGATGAAAGCCGATTAAAATCAGTACGAGAATATCAGTAGCTAAAAGTNACAGAACGGGACAGGTCAGGACGGGACGGAAAGAGACGGTAAGGGGCGGGACAGATAGGGAAGAAAGGGACGGGACAAAATAGGGCAGGACGGGACTTAAAGGGACGGGACAGGACGGTAAGGGACGAGAAGGAAAGGGAGATCACGGTAAGAAGCGGAACAGTGGGGGACGTGACCGGACAGAAAGGAACGGATGGTATTAGGGACAGGACGGTAAGGGAGGAGGTTAGGTTAGGCAAGGCGAATAGAGGAAAGCAGAGAAGTGCCAGGTTCTAGATTCACACACATACCTGAAGGGCGTGGCTCCAACAACCCATAGTCCTGGATTCCACTCCAACTGTCCCCAGGGCCTGACGAACATAAGTGGTTGGTCCTGGAGCAAAGACGTTTGGATTCCTGATCCTGCTCATTTTAGTGGCCACGTAATAAGGTAACACACACTGAAAACCACAACAGAACCAAGAGTAAGGGCAACTTATGTCCACGGCAATATGCATTCTAGTATGTCCCTTACCATCACCCGTATCTCATTACTGGCCCTGTCAATTTTTTTTTTTTTTTTTTTTTACAGCAACTGAAAAACGCCATTTCGACTCATACAATATATCCTTAAAGAACAACAAAGACAATTAGCATTTGCTGTTTGGGAACATCAGTTCAGAGTCAGCTGTGACATAGACCAGAGGGGTGTACATGGCATATTATTGACCAAGAACCAGTAAAAGAAAACAGAAATATAAAAGAGGCCATCCATATCACACCTTGATATCACATTCTGAACAAAGATGGGGCCTACGACCTCCTCCCCCGACGACTTGTGATCCCATAACAGAATGAACAACGTCACATGAAAACTAAACAAAATGGAACTAATTCACTCGCTTTAAAAAAAGCCATATATTAAAATGAGTAAGGATTGACTTCGCATGTAATTTTTTTTGTGTGTGTGACTTATCATCGTCCAAGGTCAGGATTGAGTATTCAAAGGCTAAAATACATTATTGTTAAGGATCGTTTTATTAATGGTCATTTAAGATACTAAATTATTCAGCCTAATTTCTCACCTGGTGTTACACAGACACATGATTCTGGAATTAATGTAGAAGTTAATAAGTAATTAAGAATATCATGCAATTCATGTTAATTTTATTAAGTACCTGAACAATGACTCCCTTTGATGAATACTCGGCATTGAGACATCTACTAAAGAAATCTACAAATACCTGAACAAAGCATTGGACAATAAAAATAGATATTAATAACACAACAATGGGTACCTCCATATCATTCTGGAAGGTAATCAACTGAATTAATTAAATTAATAATGCAACACATTCCTAGGTCACCATTATTAAATTAAATAGTATTAAGAAATAGAAAACATGTGCAGTGTTTCCATCAAGGTTTAGTATAAATCTACCAGTGTTCTATAATGAATGCCATGCTCTGATTGGCTACGCTTCTCACTATCTATTCTGTGATTGATAGTGAGTAGCGTAGCAGCGTGCTCTTGTTAACAAAATGACGGACGTTTCTTGGCGTTTTCAAAGTGTCTGTGAAGAGGATTTCGATCAAGTTTGGGCTATTTTGTGATGTAATTTGCAGTATACGGAACACATGTACTATTGTACGTACATTTTACAAATTATCATCAAAATGCTTAATACATGTATGTGTAACCAAGTGTTCAGCTGGGGTTGACCAGCCACTTGGGTATTTGATATGTACACCAGGATATTTCAGAATTTTAACCTCTCAAACTCATTAAAAATTCGTCAACTTTAAACAAAGGAAATCAGAACATGACAGTGTTTGGATATCTGATCTTATTAGTACACTGATTATTACAATAAAAATTATCTTATTTCTCCTAAATTTTAGTATATCGAATACTGGACAGACTTGTTTGACCACATTTCCAAACACCTCATCATTTGTCAAAAATACTCTAATTTACTACGAAATGTTGTCAAACATGTCATCTTAAATGTTCTTTCATGTTTGATATTTTACATCAAAGTTCAAACCTTGGTTCCAGAATACATTGACAGAAGTGGAGTAGGAGTCAAGCCGGCAGCAGAGGCAACATTTACAATCAGGCCTCGTCCTCTGAAACGTCAATGATGAGAACAGAATGATCAGGACATGTACATGCAAAGAACTCTTTCTTTAAGGCCACAGCTCTTAAGGCACATCACATGAATGATAATCAACCATACTGTAAGTATCACATAATAACTTATCTAAAAAACTCTTCCTCCTGACTAGTATGAAATTAGACCTCCAATCCATGTAATCCAGTACAAATTAAGTCAATATGCAAATTGCACATACAGCTGCATCGACACATATACTGTGCTTTAGACTTGCTCTTGGTTTGATTTTCTTTTTTTGTCCCAAGCTAGTTAGACTTTTCTTTATTTTGCTCCTCATTCACTAGTCTAATGTTAACATGAAACAAAGGAAGCTAGAAATCACCCTCATCACTAGGTTATAAAACTGACTTCAAACTAAAATCATATGTTAAACCACTAACAATAAAACCCGAATGGCTTGTCAGGTGCTTTTAGGGCAAAGTGACTCAGACAAAGTTGAAGTGTCACTCAAAGCCACAACATGAGAACAGTATAATGTACACTGTATCACACTTTGTGTACATGAATGTACATGGTCAAGGTTTGACAAATGTACTTCTCATTCAATCTGATTTCCAGATCACAAATACTATAAGATGTAGCCCCCTAATAGAATGGGATGCCATAAAGTAATTACTGAAACCCTCCTAGCCCCGCCCCTCTCAACACTATACAGCATTGCACCATGGTAGAGTGAACCATCTTTGCTACAAAAAACACGTTACTTAAAAACACAATCTTACCTAGCAGCCATCTCGGGTAGGATTATGCGAGTCATCTTGCAAAGGAAAAGCAAACAGGTTGGAACAAATTATTTTTAAAAATAGGACAAAAAACCCACAAATGCAATGACAAGTTGAAATAAATTACATGTAGTCATACATGTAATTAATTATGATTATTATTAATAGTTCACATGGTTATTTAGGAAGGCTCACCATGGTCACAGAAAGAGCATTGACATTCATCATCTTCCATGCATCCTAGTAAAAGAACATGTCAAGCACCAGTTGAAAAGATAACCACAAAATGTGGCAATAATTATTAAATAAATGTACATTGCACTTCAGTAAGCAATTAAAAGGAAAAGATGTGAGAATAAATGGCTTTCATTAATAAAAATAT